ATATATATATATATATATATATATATATAAAATAAAATAATAATAATAATAATATTGTATAAATTTTAGCTATTAGTATGTGTCAAAAGAAAATGCCATATAGTCTGGAATTTAAAAAGAAAACTTAGTAATGTATTAAAAAAACATTTTTTTTAATATATTTAATGATTAGAATTTTTTTCTTTAATTTGGTTACTAATGATAATGTGAACTTATTTCATAGTTTAAGTAACCGGTTTTTACCAACTTTATATACGAAAGTCATTCAAAGTGAAGGAATTATTAAGTAGACTATTTTTAAAAAATTGGAACTGAGTCAAAAAAGAAAAATGAAACTAACTATAAATTTATTATATTAATTGGTTTTTTGACGTTAAATTGTACACGTAATGATGTGCATGATCACAAATATCCTTCGAAGATCGGAGGGAGAAACTCATCACTTTTTCTAGTCAAATATGCATAGCCTATGTTTGACCTCGGTTGTGTTGTCTATATATGTCCGAGCCAGCTCAGCGTTTATGTTACATAGTTTATTTATGATTTTCATGGAAACAGGTATTCAAACTATAATTATTTAATAAGGCAATAGCTAGTTCTCTGATACGCTAAATAGATATAGGGCCACAATATATCGTAGCTCCTTGCAAAGACAAAATCAATGTTCATTGCAACAAGACAAAATGGTTTATTTGAAGGTCTATGAGACTGCAAATAAGTTGAATAAGAATTCTATTTAACAACAATATAACAACATATTAACAAAGCTTTTTTCACTAGGTGAAGTTGATCACTACACGAATCACACCACGTTATTTGACTCCATTAAAAACCAAATTAAGATTCAAAGATATGCATCCAAAGGATGATCTAATTAATAACCATGTGACAATATTCGAAGCCTAGCAAGGAGTTATCAAAGGTATTGAATTGCAAGGACACATAACTCTCCAAGAGGGTTGATAGCATCAAATTAAGAGCCTATGAAACGTGGATTGATTTTGCATGTGCATGGAATTGCGAAACCTTTTTAACTACCAATGAATACATTAATTAAACTATACAAGCTTGTGTTGTGTTGTAAAGTAGAAAAGTTTAAGAACACGAGGGCGTGACCCCCAACTTCAACCTAGTGCTCTCTTTTTGAGAACGACCAAAGTCGGTTTGTTTTTAAATAAACCCTTTTAAATCTTCCTATCACATTGTTAATTTAATAAATAAAAAAATTAAGTACCATTTTTTAAGTTTTCATGATATTAAGTATATTTTCACAAAGTATTAAGAAAATTTGTAGAAAAAATTATAGAAAAATACAATGTTACTTTTTTGAAACAAGAATTAACGTGATGTCGTTGAAATTAGTTTTTTAATATATCATCTATTTTTCCCTCTTAATAATGAGAACTCTGTCATGAGCTTCTTTAACTAACCCGTTAGACAGTGAATTGTATATAAAATAGATTCACCGACACCAAGCATATATTGCATAGGAGTATAATTTATATACTTTTAGTTGGAAGGCCTTTTTTTAGAGAGGAAATCACATTGAAGTCCATTGTCTTATTCGGTTGGTATATTGGTAAGTGGACACTCCAATTTAAAACATTTGAAAAAATTTCTCAGGCATTTCTATTAAGATTTACGGTTTCAAATCATAATATTTTACTTGTCTCTACACATATTATAATATAATGATACTTGATGATATTAATACAATATGCGTATATATTATGTACATGTAAAACTGGTAGGCTTACTAGCTTTTGTACAAATATAAATATCAAATTTTTTTATATAAAAAAAAAGCCACGCATAGGTTAGTTATGACATGTAGGCAAATGTCCAGTCTCTTAGTTGAAAAAATATTTAAAAATTAATTAGACTCATAATAATTTTTAAAATATTAGACAATTTTTTATGCATATTATATTTTATACTCCATATAAATGAATTTTAAAAATGTTCGAATTTCATATATCGAAGCTAGAAGAATTTCAAACAAATAATAGTGTGCCAAATTTTATGCATCTAATAAACTCTAAAGAGAAGATGCTCGAAAGCAATTTTAACTGCATGGTGTGAAAATTTTTCTTTAGCTTAATTTTTGAATTTTTTTAATAAAAATTGTTATAATAATTTATTAGGAAATATTTAAAATTAAACATGAAGATATCCTTTATCTCATTTAAATTCTAAAGATAGGAGATTGCCTTTATTGCGCAATCCATACATTTAATTTTGTTTCATAGTATTTTATGATGATAAATTTATTAGGTAATATTTATTTAAAGACAAATCTTAACAAATAAACAATTTTAAAAATATCAAATTATGTTTATATATATATATATATATATATATATATGAAAAAGCAGGGTGATTGTAACCTAGTAACCTACATATATATGTTTGGGGGAGCTTTTGAGGTTTGGGGAGGTGTGATTTAAGTGTGAACCAGTTAGGCTGTTGTTTTGGGGGCTTTAAAATTAGTTAATTTTTGAAAGAAATGAAAAATTGTATAGCTTTAAAGAACACAGGCACATGCTGTGCCACCAAAATGGCATTTAGAAAGCACTATATGAGGATTATTTAACAACCCAAGAAAAGATTCCCCTAAGACTAGACCTTATTTTTCATTCATCACTAACCGATATAATACACATGCATACACATGCTTTAAATATATACCTTCTTTTTTTCATTTTATGATATTTCTTTTTCTTATAATTTCATAAAATTTATCTTTTATTGTTAAAACTATTTTATTTAATCTTTATATATTATTTTTGTTTCTTTATCACGTTTATACTTTTATAAATTTTATCTAGTATTTATAGTAAGTACAGAAACTACAAAAAAAAATTATATGTTTAATGATTAAAGTAAAATATTTTTAATTATAAAAATAATTTTTTTTATAAAACTAAAAAGTGTCAACTGTGTATTCATGTACATATATTTTTCGATCAATAAACATATGAATCAACTAATACAAGTTTATTTTGATTTAATTAATAACTTTGAATATGAGTTATAAGTTTATAATTGCGCTAAATACATAGATATTTGTTGTCTATTCTAATTTTATCAAACTTGATCTATATATATATATATATATATATATATAAAAAGAAAGAGAGGGAGCTTCCCAAAACACTAACACAGTGCTTTCAAACAAAAGATAGTCATCTTTGTCAGCAGATTGGTTCTATCTATAATAAGGATGTGAAAAAAATTCAAACTCATCGAAAATTTTGATCTATTTTTTAAAAAAAAATGATTTATTTTACAAAAAAATAATTTAATTATTCGATCCATTTTTATAAAGTAAATTAATTTAATTCAGTTTTTAAAAAATTAATTCATATATAAATAAAGAATAGATAACTATATTGTATCGAATTGATCTAATTTTAAAAGAATCGATTTATATTTTTAAAAAAATCAAACTTATTTTTTTATAAAAAATAAATAAATTGATTAACTAATTTAATCTTATAAAACATATTGATGGAACTTGATTTAAATTTTTAGGGTTAAGGTATAAATTTTTCATCAAGCATTCCTTGAGGAATTTTTCCTTGAAATCCACTTGTGATCCCATTGCTACAATATTGGATATGATGATGATATGTAAACATAATATAAGTACAATATCATATCATTTCACAATAGTATCGTAATTTGTCCACTTGACCTTACTATTTGGTCTTGCTAGAGAAGTAAGTCTAATATTTGTGAGTTGTGGGAAGTACTGACAAGTAACAACACATTATTTTAAAACGCTTTATTATTGACTTTAAAATTTTTGAAAATTAAAAAATCAAGACAACCATTAAATTACATTAATATACTAACATTGATTAATACATGTATAGAACACACATTTTATATGTATTTATGGTATTGGATAAATATTAGTCATTGCTTCTGATAGTAAATATTTTATACTGATATTAACAAAAAAAAAAAACAAAGAAAAATTGCTAAAACTTGCCATTTCTAATAAATTTTAAATAATAGATAGTATACTAACAAAAAAAAACTATATTCCTAAATCCTAACATTCTCTTGTTTCTATATCGGATTAGCTTGTTTAAATAAGTAGTTTAGATAAACACACTTAAAAAAACAGAAAGTTATTTGTTTTATTAAAATATCATTTTTAAAGAAAAAAAATTGAACAACCAGCCCATTGTATAATCTTCATTGAAAGAGGTAGTAGAAACAGTCATTTAAAGGTGTTATCTTGATGAATATGTTGTAAGTCGTGGTCAATTGTCTCAAACATGTAAGCTTTATTGTCTCTTGCGTGAAGCGATCTTGTTTAGCAAGTTAGGGACCTTGTCTTTTGTTTGAGTTTGAATTGCTTCCAATGCTCATAAATACCACATAGATCATTCAAAAGGTCACAGGATTGGATTATTGCCATGACAAACACCCATGAAAAGCAAAAGATTCAATAAGTCAACAAAATAAAAATAAAAAATTACACTTTTATTCTCTTTATTATTGTTAAAATTTAATTTTAGTTCTCCTTCTCTCTCTCTCTTTCTTTTTGCACAGGATTGATTCTTATTATTTTAATCGCACGATTTTGATTTATTTATTAACTTGACATCTAATATTTAAGAGAAATGTTGATGTGATATTATTATAGTACAATTTTATGTCGATATTTCTGTTAAATTTTAAATATTAAATTAAAATTACAGAGTTAAAATAATAAGGGTACTAAATATGTAAAAGAAAATAGAAAGAATTTTAAAATAATACAGAGACCAACAGTGTAATTAATCGAAAAGAAAAGGAATTCACAATTCAATATTATGTGTTATTTTGCATTCTGTCATGTCGTCCAACGTAAAAGTCAGTTTTGCTTGAATGTAAATTGGCCTAATTCGTTAGTCAGTTAGAAAAACAATTTATTTTTTCATTATCTCTTACAGAGTTATCTTGTATATAAACTTGTATTTTCTTCTTTTCTTGTAACAGAGTAAATTCTTCTCAATATCAAATTCTTGGAGAGTTTTCTTTTCTCTCAATTCAGAATATTTCTCTTCTTCTATCAATTTTGTGTGTTTGAATACATGTCCATATAATTGATTTAGAATCAATATGAATTTACATAATTAATCTTGAGTCAATACTTTTGTTTGACTAACAAAGGATATAAACTTGATTTTTATATTAAATCCTTGAAAATTTATTATAAAAATTGATTTTAAGTATATAATTATAAATCTAGGTAGATAAAATTCCAGAATTAATTTTATTTGATGAAGTAACTTTTAATAATTGCTTTCAAGTACAAATTTTCACATCTTGTAGTCAATTTTTCTAATAGTTAAATATGTTATAAACATGATTTTCGTCATTTTGGATAAAATAAAATTGTTTGTGACATGTTTGATATGAACCAAATATTCACTACAACAAAAATTGTAAGTTCCTATAACAAAAATACGGTGCTGAGTATTAATGAAAGATTTGTCACCCGAACAGATCACATATAATCTGGCCACATTTATAATGAACTTCTAACAGAGTTTGTTATTTAGCCTTATATTGTACACTTGCCAACAGAAAAGACAAAAATAAATAAATAAATAATAAATTAATAAAAAAATCAGCCATATCTATTGGATGAAGTATTGGGGACGCAAAGAAAAATAATAGTTTTAGATCCTTGATAGGTATGCGTATAAACTGCACATCAAAAAATATTACAGATTACAGAAAAATAAAGTATTATTTATCTATCTATCTGTATATTTACATGACCAATTTTATACCCTCAACTTACCTCATACTGATATTAATAACTATAAATGGAAGAAACAAATATCAAACTCACAATCACTTGGTCATTCAAGGTATTAATAAACTTTGATTCATTAACATGAAACTACTTTTCTAACCACGAAAGCTCAAAGGTAGGAAGTAAAAAACCCCAATAACGGTTGGGGAGGATTTCACATGCAGTCCCTAGCAGCAGGCACAGATTAGCAAGCATCTATCAGGTAATTGAATGTGTGTGTTGGTTGCATGTTGACTACGTGCATTTCTTTATTTTTTTCATTAAGAATTCTAGGTTTAGGCTAGAAGCTATAGTATATTGCTTCAGTCTTGACGTGAATCTATTGTCATATGACTCTAAACAAACACGCTATGAATTGTACTTAGAGGAAAAGAGCTAATTTATCCATCTGCACAAAAATTGAAATTCATTGTGACATGAACTCAGCTCTAAGTCAATTAAAACTATATACAACTATCGTCCACACTCCACTTGTCTTGGTTATTGAAACCCCAGCTTCCTGAAAATACAAGACGTATTATATTTCGGCGGGTAGGAGCACTCAGCCCTAGAAATAGGCCAAAAAATATTTAAAAGAAACAGTCAACAATTTATCTTGATTGCAGAAATCAATGAGATCTAATTCTTCCCAATTAATGAGGGCAAGGCATACATCAAAATCGGGGAAGACAACCACAAACACTTGCCATTAGCATGAATTTATAAAATAATCAAAATGGGTATATATAAATCTGTTTGCACAAAGTCACAAATGGTAGAATCTATAAAATTCAGGAAATCAACAGAAAAAATATTCAGATAAGCTATATTTGAAATTTCCACCTTTTAACCGCTATCATTATATCACAATACATTAACCTTTTCCTATCGATCTACAATTTTGGCAACTGTGGAGTGAATAATTCCAAGACTTTGTTCTTGACTAAATTTGACACAGCACGCTACTAGATGCAAGCACATAGGTGAGTGAGAAAGGCCAAATGAAAACATAACAGAAGACAGGGATGGCAACAAGAAATAGTAGCTATAGCATTCATTTGGATATCCCACCCCAACTTTCAAGCAGTTTTTGTATTGGCATCAAAAACTATAACAATAGACAATAGTATAGATAAATAACAATATCAATTTCTATAATATGATCAAGATCAAGATCAAAAAATTATAAAGTTATCCATTTTCTTCATGACATCTTTTTTCAAAAACAAGAAGTTGGGAGAATCCATTTACATGAGAAAGTTACATATGGTCAATGTTTCAAGACAAGCTTTAAAACAGTTAAAATACACTGGTAAACCATCGAGCATGGAAGCAGTTAAGTTTAAGATGCACAATTTCAATGCCCTGGCATTTCTAAGTGGGTAATGTCAAGGGAAGAAAATGGATCCATAAAAATGTACCCTGAGCATCATCAGCTACATACCCCCTTTAAAACATTGATACCCTTATGTAGAAGTTTATAATCTTTCTTCAACAGTGTACATCAGCTTCATATCCCAGTCACACTGTTACACTACCTCTTGCATTATGTTTCATCTTCAATTCCATTCACAAAAATCTGTCCATGGAGCTGAACCAGTATTTAGTCAGGCATGCTGTTCATTGCAACTTGTAAGATATTTAACTGATAAACGAATCAGCCAATTGTGAGGAGGTAACAACATTATGAATGGTTAGAGAGAATGTCATTGCAAAGTAAACACATCAAGAAGAAAATCACTGGTAAACCTCAGTTTTGTAAATGTTGATGTACATCTGACATCATGTCATAAGACTCTAGCTTAGTAGATAGAAGCATCAAACCTTGGCTCATAGAAACAAACTTGATTGTTGTATGACTGCAGAGCACACCCACCAATCCAAGACCAGATCTTTTTATCCACATCATACAGAAGGCCCTTTCCTTGGTTCCAAGACGTGAAGCAGATTAAATTGTCCTGCCCAAAGCATTCAAATCTCTCTGCTGATAATCTCAATAAAGCACGGAAATACTTTGGGGGCATCCTACTAATCTCCACCCATGTAATTTTGGTGTGATCCAATTCCCAAATCCTCATACTCTGTAGAGTACTATAAAGGCCAATCCTGCCAACAAGAAAAAGACGCTTCTGGGTACCAGCAACCAAATAACCATCCAGCAAAGATCGCGGGAACTTAGCCGGAATATGTTCCCAGTGACCTGTGTCTAGTCTATACATCATCAAACCAAGCGGTGAAAGGGTTTCCAAGTACAATCTGGAGTCACAATATGCCATCTTTGAAGAGCAGAGATTAACTGCTGGCATAATCTGATGAACTGTCCAACCGTCTGTCTTTGAGTCATAAACTTCAGTTGGCAATGACTTGTCACCGTAAATATCACTCGTGGCTATCACTTTAAATGACCGATCCACCCGATCAACAACCAATATCAGTTGCCTTTGATGATTGTAATGCATGCTAGGCAATGCCCTCCAAGTTTGAGTTAGGGGATTACACACCAGGGTCTTAAAAGTTAGCCCATCGTGCCCAGAAAAGCAAACAAGACCACCAGAAGAGCCAACTAACCAGAACGCCCACTGTGGCAAGAATGTGAAAGGTATCCTATACCAAGTTTTCAACGGCAAGCTGAAGACTGAACACTGCGGGGTCTGCGTGTTCTTCCAGAAGGTAAGGAGACACGGCCCATGTGATGGCACACTGGAATGGAATTTGAGAAAACTACTATCTTGAAGCAGCGAATTCCACCGTTTACAAACCAATCGAAGCCGGAAAATCAGAAAGGGGGGAACCCTAGCTAAGATCTCATGCAACAAGTCCTCAGGCAACATTGCCCATATATTATCCTCCATTTGAACATCAGCATGTACTGCCTTCCCAAATGTGGCGAGTGTTTCCTCATCCAAACCCCTAGGCTTGGTCTTAACAACCTTCTGCCGCGAAGGGCTCGTGTTCCTGGACCCGGCCCGACCCATTGGGCTAGTATTCCTAGACCCACCACCCCTTGGAGGGGAAGCTTGCTTACAGGACCTCCCATCTCCACCAAAAACTCCATTCTCTACTGATGGAGCAGCATACACTCCAGACCCTGATTCAGAAGAATGCCCTATACAATCCATGTCCTATAATTCCCTCAAACCCCCAAATCAAACAAAATTTCAGATTCAGACATGTATTCCACCCTCACCAACCAACCAAGGAATATAGACACCTAATTGTTTCAATCACCGATACCCCAGAGCTAAAAATTCTTATACCCTAGATCAAGATCCAAAATGATAGAGAGTTTCATCCCCAGATGAACATGTAAATCACGAAATGAAAAAAGATAATTTTTTTTAGCAGAGAGCATAGAACGGCAGAGTGTAGCTAAGGTGGGTGTGAAGGCAAACAATTACCTCGGATTTTGGAAGCGTGCGGTTCCCACTGATTAGGAAAAAGCTTTGACAGAGCTTGAAGGATAGAGATTGTGATATGAACATGAAAGAAGGAAAAACCTGACTAGGTTCGGGTTAGAGTCTCTCTCTCTTTGGTTGGATTTGATTTACTTTGTCACTATTTGACAAAGGGAACAACAAAATCAAAACTCGAGATTATTACTATGTGGTACTTATCCCGTATTCTGGTGCAAACGGTTCCACAATATTAACCACTCAGTTATCGACACGTTAGATTGCTATCTATTATTGCACATTTTATATAATGTAGTTGTAAAAAAAATTATTCCTACAAATTATAAATTGGCGTTAATATTATAAATTTTAACATAAATAATTAATATTTTTATACATAATAAAATTGTAAACCAAATTTTTTTGTTTTGATTTTTTTAATTTAATTCTATAATTTTAGTTCTCCAATTTTATTAAATTTACAATTTTATCCTTCCTTTAAAAGCTCATCTTTTTAATGTTAAAATTTTTACATTAGTTATGATTTTACATTAAATAAATAACATTGTAATTAATATTTAATAATATTTAACTAAATTTCATTTTAATTCTAATTTTTTATCTTATTAGTGATCAAATAAAATACAAAATTTAATACAAATGAAAATTAAAAGTATAAATTAGTCTAAATATTATTAAATATTGATATTCATGTTATCAAATGTTAGATCAAAATTAATATTATAATTTTAAATTTTTAACAATGAATGGATTAATATTAATTCAATGAAAGAACTAAAATTACGAATTTTATAAAATTGAAGATCTAAAATTATAAAAATAAAAAAAATTAAATCCTAAATTCTAATAATATTATAAAAATTATTTATATAATATATATATAGAGAGAGAGAGAGAAATACTATTTACTTTTATTTTTAAAAATAAAATAGGTATTTAATTTTTATTTTTATTATATATATTTATGAAAATCTAACATAAATATGAAGGAGGTTTACAATTATTGTTTATATATTCAACTAACTGAATTAGACGTATTTGATAATGAGTATTTAATATAAACATTAATTTGTAATTTTTTTCATCCATTAAGATATCTTTCATTTTAGTTTTTTAATCCATAAGAACATGTACATCAGTACATGGCACTGAAACGCCAGAGTAGTTCAATTTATGTTGATATGAGAAAGAAAATGTTTATTGATTAATTAATTATAATTACTATTCGGTGATTAGAAAAGCAATTTATGCATGATGGGTTTATGATTATGATTCGATTTATATAGAATTATAGATGCATCGAGGCTTAGACGATGGAGAATTGAGATCAGAGAGAGCATACCGTTCTGGTGTTGATATATTTTTAAATTACAAAATACAAAACCATTTGCAATTTTCTATATTTGTCTAAGACTGTATTTATAAATTTAATTATTTGCTCCATTTGGACCGTTAACAAGACCTTTACATTAAAGTAATGAAAAATAATTTCTGATAACATCTTGGTGGTGAAAAATTCAGTCTCTGGTTTGACTATTTCTCTGTTTGTTACCCCTTGGATTTTATTATATAATCAAATTGAAACCTTTTTTCAAACTAGACCTTTTATTTTTCTCAATGATAAAAACGAAAAAAAAAAAAAAAAAACCTAAACCTTTTAGGTAGGTTAGTTGTTTCTATTGCATTATGAGTGAAAAATTCAAAATTCTAAACGGAAGTTGAGGAAATGGAACATTGTTGAAACGTCAAGACTGAGGAAATTTTATGGGCCCAAAGAAAGCTTCGGTGTGTGAGGGTGACACAAAAACAAAATATTTCCATTGATGTGTTCATAAAAAGGAACCAACTAAGAATTTTGATGTGCAATAAATTATGTCTTTCTGCCATTGATTCATTTGATTGTATTTAGTGTTGTTTCAAAACTTCCTTTGCTTTGTATGATGTTCCAGCACCTTCTGATATTGGAGATTCAAATTCTCAGGCAGTATAGTCAAAATATAATTAAACTCGTTTTCCATCTCTCTTTAAATATAATGTCCCATTCTATTTTGTCAACTTTAAAAAAAAAAAAGTTAGATGTGGCTAAAGCCTCAAATAATATAATTGAACACATTAATGCATCTCCTTCATAATTATTATCTTTTTTCTTCTTTTAATTATATCGTGGTGTACCTCTATGATAAAGATTGTGTTAGGTTTTGAGTAAGGGTGTGCCGCTGATAAGAAATATGACCTACTAGTCCAACTAATCAAAATAGAAAAAGTTGGATTAATTTGTATTAGATAATAATGTGATCTAAAGTCTGATTTGCATATTTGAATTAGCCTCAACCTTTGTCAATTGATGTTATATATCGTGTCCTCATTCAATAGTAGTATAAAGGAATCACATTATTCCTCCTTCAACTTCTTTCTACCACTATATTCTCATATGACTTACTAGCTTAAAAAAAATCATACTACTATCTTTCTACCACTATATTCTTTTATTTTATATAATACATAATTTTGAAGTTTTAACTGAATTAAATTAAATTAAATTTACTTCAATTTTTATTATTTAAAAATTACTGTCTTTATTGTTTATTTTTTTAATCAATATTAAATGCAATAAGATATTTGTAAATTGTAAGTGGGATAAATTTGTTTGTTCTCATTTTTGAAAATTTGTAATATTAAATAATTTAAATACTTATTTTTTGTATTTTAATTAGTATATTACTAACAATTTTTAAATGATTTTTTTTATAATTTAAAAAATATGTACAGTTCGTAAAATACCTGCTAACTAAAGAAAAAAGTTGTGCTGGAATTCTCAATCATGTAAGAATTTTTGTTTGATTTTGTGCTAACTACAACGATTCACGACAAAGAAAGGGTGTTGCTTTCCTTGCCAGATATGGGACATGGCCTCGACCAATTTTGGCAAGTAGTTGCCACCAAAATATTAATGAAAGATAGGAACATATACCTTTTTTTCCGTGGCTTCACAGGAACATATAATTGTAGTGTGGGGCCAAAACCTTTAAATCAAATTACTTTAGTCCAAAATATTAATTTTATTATGCATCATAATTTGTTTGGTTCTTTCATCATAAATGATGAATTAAGATTGTAGTTATATATGAAGAAGAATCGTGGTCTTATATAGAATTGGATGTCTTTTAACGCTCTTCGATTCAAAAAATAAAATTAATTTTAGAATAGGATTTCTGTCCTTTTTTTTCCCTCAACTTTGATGGGTAAGTGTGATGATAAAAAAATGTTTTGTCATTCATATGCCTAAGACATACTTATAGAGAAAATGGAGAGATAACTTGTCTTTCTTGAGAAGTCACAATAATCCATGTTTCTACACAGTTGCTGCAGTGAAAGTATACAAGTGGGTGGTGGTGATAGTGTACGTAATTATTATCTTGAACCATGAATGCATATAAAATAATTATTACCTTACAACATAATATATTTCATTATTAGGACTTAAATTTTAAACAATTTTATTAAAAAATAAAAATTATTATCACTTATATCAATTTATATTAATAATTGTGTAACTGTAAACTAAGTATTATCTTCTAATATAATTTATTTTATTAAAATTCAAACCTTAAATATTTGAATTAAAATATAAATTTTTATCACTTATATGGCATGTAGTTGATAAGTTAAGGGACATGCTATATGCAATTTGCTAAATAGGTGTCGGCTGGAAGGAGGTTTCCACATATATATGGTGTATTTTAGTAGATTTTGTAGGATGAGAAGTGACACACGAGAGGATCTATTTTTATACATAACTGCTAGCTTGGTTTCTGATTTAGGGTTAATTAGGTACCCTTTTACTCTTGATCCTTTCCCAATGAAATATTCTCTTTTGCAGATAAATTTTTTTAAAAAAATAAATATACTAACTTAATATATTTGATAATATATAATTTATTAAAGCACAATAAATTAAATTAAAAAAAATAACGTGATTATCTTTACTTAATTATTAAGTAAGAAAAACACACAATATTTTTACACTGTTTGGTTTCAACCACTGAGATTACGTCCGGTTCTTATTCAACTTAATCAAGTCCTACTATATTTTATAAAGATGCATATATTTTTTTGCAAGTCACTTCTACCTCAAATTAAGTATTATTTGACTTATCTTTTTAAATAACTACACAAGTATTCTATTAAAGTTAATCACCTATACACTGTCAGTGTAAAAAAAATTTATACTGGCAACCAATTATATCTTTTAATTATGCGATGTCATTGTTAAAAGTAATTATGTTTACAGTGACATGACACAATTAAAAGATATAATTGGTTGGCAATGTAAATTTTTTTTACACTGACAGTATATAGGTGATCAACTCATTCTATTAACACAAAACCTCTATAAGTTTTAATAATAAGTATTTTTTACGGTCAAACCTCTAAGTTATAACATTTAAGTATTATTTTATAATAAAGTTTCTCCGAACTCTAACAGTCAAATATTATTTTACAGTTAAATTTTTTCAAGTTTAAAATAATAACACAAAGTTAAAGGTGGGTAAGCTAACAAAAATAAATGTACAACAATGTTCATGTAAAACTATCCCACACTTTTTGAATTTTTAAATTTTTTTACATAGGTGTTTCATAAAGATGATCATTATAATTCCTTGAATGTCTTTCAAATACTTGTTTCGTATGACTTCATCTTTGTTCCTTGTCGAAGAAAATGTTCATTGGTGTATTAAATGTTCGCATTAAATACATTTCATCAAATTATAACTTCTTATCTAATTAAGGAAGTAATTTATCACCTTTTGGGTACCAAAGGAGAGGGACCATGTGTGCGTTAGTCTGCAATATATTCATCTATCTCCATCTTTGTTCCTTTCAGAGAAAAGTGTATGTTGGTGCATTAAATACATTTAACCAAATTATCATTTCTTATTAGATTAAGGAAGTTACTTACCACCTTTTATGTACCAAATAAGAGGAACCATGCGTGTGTCTATCTAAAACAACTCTTTCCATAGATTTTTATTCCTTTGCGGGATATCTAATCTTTTTTTTTTTTTAATGAAAAACATGTCTTTAGTCCTTTAATGAGTTGTGAATATCAAATAAACTTTATTAATTCGATTTATTAAGGAATCATGTGAACAAAAATGATTATATTATCAAACATCATAAATAATATAAGCTAAAAGTATATATGTTTTATAGATAAAGTATTTCATTTGTAAGACTCAATGTCAAGATAGTTAAACGTCTTAATTAGGTCATCTTATAAACATTTATCTTAAAGAAATTTTTTTTTCTTGAAAAGCGTTTATATTGTTATCATTAAAACTTGAAATCCTAATAAATCTAGATTTTTCTTTTGACTTAATATTCTTTAACGAAATGTGGATACTAAAATATAATATTATTTTTTATTGATATTATACATATAAATTAGTGTTATAAATAATAATAAAAGGAAATGTATTGGTGGGTTGGCCAATCCCACCTGCAAACTTGTTTTTTTTTTTTTTTTCTAATGTAAAAATGAATTGATAATCTAGAGTAATCAAAAGAAGAAGGAAAAAAAAAGTTAAAATAGGTTCATTTGATTGTCTAATTCGTTTTTGTCACGCTTAGAGCTGTCAAAACGGGCCAACCCGACCCATGTGGGCCGGCCCACCTTGACCCACTTTAAAAACGAGTCAACCCAACCCGGCCTACTTTTGATTTTTTTAAAAAAATTTGGCCCGACCCGGCCCACCACGGGTTGGTGGGCTATACGGGCCAGCCCACCAGCCCACCAAAAATTAAAAAAAAATTATCAACAAAATTTAAAATTTAAAATTAATTATAAATTAACATAATAGTCATAAAATTAGCATCATTGATAGTCATAAGTCATAATTCATCATACGAAATTAAATACAAATCATGATAAAAGTCTAAAATAATTTTTTTTTAATATCCCATCATACACAATTAATTACAAATCATGCTTAAATTTTTGTTGCAAAAAAAAATGGTGGGTTGGTGAGCTACCCGGCCCACCACGGGTTTAGCCCGGGTGGGCTGGGTCAAAGTGGGTTGGGTTGAGATATACTCACCTACTATAAAATTTCAAAATTTTTTGGCCCGGCCCGGCCCGTTTTCAAGGTGGGTCGGGTTGGCCCACGGGTCCCGGCCCACTTTGACGGCTCTAGTCACGCTAATTCATTTTTATTTAAAAATCTTTAATATGTCATTAATTTTTTGTCCCATAATTATGGAAGAGGTGATCACTATCTTATAGAAAAAAAAAATCCACTTAATTTTTTGTATGGTGGGGATTTTGACTTGTAAGTTATCCCGGCAGACAGTTAGACATAGAATCATCATATAGGAGAGATTTTGTTTGATATAGATGTCATCGTATTAACAAATTAAAACTGAACTATCAATATTTAAAAGGTTCATTAGTGTTCGAAATTATGTGAGAACAAAATGGTCTAAACCGACTTGTTTGACCAGAAAATTAATAAATTATTTGATCTCTTGAACTTTAAAAATCAAATGATATCAAGAATTGGTAATTTCAAATAAGGGCCTAATATAAAATTTTAAATGTTTATGAATAAATTTCATTTATAAATTTTTAGAAAAAAATAAATAAACATTCCATGTCTTTCTATATATATATATTTTTTTTAAATAACGAAATAAAAAAATCAGATAAAAATGAAAGTGTGTATAATAAAGAGATAAAATTTCAGTTCCTTCATGAAAAATGGAATGAATTATTAGTTAAATGGTAAATATATGTAAAGAAAAGTGAAGAGCAAAAGAATTTATAGCCAGTATATATTACTAGAAAAATATATATATTTTGTGCCTAGTTAATATTTTGAAATGTGGAAATTACACAACAGTCGTAGAATATGCAGTTTATTTTTATCAAATAAATTTTTTTATTTAAATTAATAAAATGAAATTATTGAATTATCTCATACTAAAAAACTAAACATGCAATTATCATAATAAATAAAAAGTAAAAATATCTTAAAAATTGTATATGCAATAACGATGAATAATCTTTATATATTATTATAGATTATTTTTAATTTCTCACTATTAATTTTTGTTTTACAAAACATATAATATATATATATATATATATATAATTTTTTTTAATTTTACTTAAGTTAATTTTGGCAATTGCTAATCAACCTCTTTAAAGCATTAATCTGGAAATAAAAATTAGAAAATTTTCCATTAAAACAATGATAATATTAATCTACCCACCATACTCTCCCCCAAAAAATAAACTACTCTCACCATAATTTTCAGTACATTTAAAAGTGACTTCCAACCAAAAAGAAAAAAAGTGACAATAAATAACATTTCCTTTTCCTCTTCATCCATTATTCCATCCTAATAGAAGACAGTGTGTGGACACTGCACCCTAAAAGGACACGTGTCAGACACTAACAGGAAAAGAAAACAGCGTGGGTCAGTGTCAGCAATCACAATCACATTCACATATCGCCATCGCGCCTCACACGTGTGTGTGTGTTTTTCCAACTCCAATTAATGGGGGCGATCACGTCGTCCATGGCGGCCAAGTTCGCCTTCTTTCCGCCCAATCCGCCGTCGTACGCCGTGGCGGTCGACGAATTATCGGGGAAGCTCAAGATGATGGGGGTGACCGCGAGGGAAAACGTCGACGTTTTGAAGGTCTGCACAAAACGAGGGAACAGCATCGTGGCTATGTACATTAGAAACCCTTCCGCATCGTTGACCGTGCTTTTCTCGCACGGTAACGCCACCGATCTAGGTCAGATGTACGACTGGTTCTCCCAACTCAGTCACGACCTCCGACTCAACCTCTTATGGTCACTACTCACTACTCACTACTCACTACTCACTACTCATCACGCACGTCGTTTTCTCACTTCTCATAATTTCTCATTTTCTCTATTTTAATTTTTTCTAGTTATGACTATTCTGGCTACGGACACTCTTCTGGCAAGGTAAGCTCAGCAATTTTTTTCTTTGTTTCTTTCTTTGTTATTTTTTCCTTTTTTGGATTTACATGGTTTCGAATTTTAAGGGTTTACCTTTTTGATGTACATTTTATGTTTTCGTCTTCAAATAGTAACTGTGAATTTGCGATTTAGCTGCGACGTGTTACTCAATTGGAAATTCACTTGCATAACGCCTCTTTGCTATCTATGTTTGGACTTTCGAGGGATATGTAATATGTATGTGTGTATATATTTTGAAATTTAACTAAAGGTTTTCCTTATTTGATAATTTTTTTAAAAAAATCGAGAAAAATTGGAATGTTGTTAAGGTTGATAGAATTGAAGAATGGTAGAAAATTAAATAGAGAACGAAGAGAACTTTAAATTATAATGTTTCCTTTTTTTTTCTCCCCAAAATAGGAGAAATGCTATTTTGAGGAAAATGGAGAAAAATGAAATATTATTATGTAAAGTAAGTAGTTTGAAGCTAGACATAGTGTAATATTCTTTACGAAGTGCCATGGTTTAAAAAAAATTTAAATTTTTTTCAATGTAAGACGGCTTGAATCAACTTTATGGAGAAAATTTGGAAAAACGGAAAGTTTTACCTCCTTTTATTAGTTTTAAACGATGCAATATATAAATTAATAAAAAAAATCTTAGAATCCAAAGATTTTTTTTTTATGACAATTATTTGTTTGGGAAATAATCTTGTGAAGGAGATGTTGAATAGCAGGAAAATATCCTGATTCACTTAAGGAATGTCGAAATGGAAACTGATCAATTTCAGTTGAATGACTATTCTACAATAGGATGTAAGCATTTGAATTTAATTTATACGACATTCAAAATATTTACACCAAGGAAAGCATTGATTTTGAATAAAGGTTGTTATTATTCCCAATTTCTTATTATGAACATTCTATTATTCTTTAACGGTTTTTGAGCTAGGATGTCTAGATAATAATGAGGTTGCTTAATTTGAAGAATGTGCTAATTTTTGGGACAGCCTAGTGAGCAGAACACGTATGCAGATATAGAAGCTGCATATAAATGCCTGGTGGAAATGTATGGGGCGAAAGAGGAAGATATTATCCTATATGGCCAATCTTTGGGCAGTGGACCCACCACAGATTTGGCTACTCGTTTACCAAACCTTAGGGCTGTCATTCTCCACAGTCCCATCTTATCTGGTCTCAGAGTCATGTATCCCGTCAAGAGGACATACTGGTTTGACATTTACAAGGTTTTTTTTCTCAATCTATCAATGCTAAATAGATTGATCAATCACATTGTTCAATTCAATTCGAGTCTCACATGTTTATATTGCTGAAATTTGATGATGTTTTTGCGCTTTTTGTGCAGAACATTGACAAAATTCCTTTGGTCAGTTGTCCAGTTCTGGTAATTCATGTGAGTATACGTATGTCTAACTAGTATATAATGATAAATTAAATATGCCATTTTACAGAACGGAATTGGACTCTGAAGTAATTATGCAATGGCATTTTCATAGTTTTCTGTTAAATCCTTCTTTGGATCTGACTTAGTTTATGAAATATTTTCATTTGTAATCTGAGTTGAAGGTCCTCTCCCATTTACACTACTAGCCTATATTGTTTTTGCTTTCTATACGTACCCTCAGGACCATCATTATCAATAATAAATTGATTGGATCCTATTCATCTGTGTTGAAAATATTGATCTATTAATATTATTCAGAGCCAATCTGATCACTAATTTCACTCTCAGTTGCTGAGAAATTCTTGATTGTTGTCATTGTGGATGTCCATCTGAGCTTTCTATATGTATTTTTCAAACAGCATTTGTGGTTGTGTCAACGATATGCCAAAGTACTTTGAATACACTCCCAAATCAACCCCCTAATTACCCTACTTGCATATAATTGTCTGCTTCCCTTGTCCTTAATAAAATACACCTTAGTGATAGGTGGATGACTACTGATTATCATATTTGTCATGCTTGCAATAATATGTTTCTGTAATTCTTTCATATATCATTGTCAACCACAGCCACTAACTTCCCATTTTGTGCCTATGTTGTGTGCTGCACTAAAAGAAGAGGGACAGTAGATCAACATGGTTTATATGCATACTTAATGTTCAATTAGGCTATGGAATGAAGGTGCACCTTATTAACATGAACACTTAGCCGACCTAGTTAAATTTGATATCAGTGAACATGGTGGTCGGTTAGACTTTTTTAATTGGTGAACTGTTTTTGTTAAATACCTATGCTAGTAGCCAAATGCTATCAATGTATAAGTTTCAACTTATAGTAAAATGGCCTCTTTGTGTTGGCATATACATCTTTTAGGGAACAGCTGATGATGTAGTAGATTGCTCCCACGGGAAGCAACTTTGGGAACATTGCAAACAAAAGTATGAACCCCTATGGATTAAAGGAGGAAATCATTGTAACCTGGAGCTTTACCCTCAATATATAAAGCACCTCAAGAAATTTATTGCGGCTATTGAAAAGTCATCCCATCAAAAAACAGGAACTGTTCCTGTTCCTGATCAACTGGACAGACCTCGGAGTAGCACAGATTTTAGAGAGAAACCTAGAATCAGCATGGATCTAAGGGAGAATTTGAGACGAAGTATTGACTTAAAAGAAAAGCATAGGTCCAGCACAGACCATAAAGTAAAGTCGAGGGCTGGCCCAGATAAGAAAGATAAATCAAGAAAGAGTATAGATCGGTATGAGAAAGCATGTAATGGAGCAGAAATTCCTGAGAAAGCTAGAACTAGCATTGATCGGTCAGTTAAAAACCACGTTCAATGTGCTAATGAATGTTGTGCTAATGTTGTTTCTGACAATTTTTCTGTGTTGTTGCTGCAGTTTTGGGGACATGGTGAGATCAGTTGGGTTGTGCAATATTGATTGTTTCAGGCCCAGTGCAACTCATGCATAAAGATGAAACTGACAAAACCTTACGTGTTGAGGTTTTTTTTCTGATTGATTATTTGATTGGTTGATGAGTTGTATGGGTGATAGGAAAATGTTCACTTGTGTCCAATTTATTTTCTAAAGTAGTAGATGAAAAATTAATTTAATGAGGTAGATCGTGTGCCACTAAATCTTCTTCTAAGTTCATAATATAACCTCTGTTTTTAGCATGCGCATTAACCAAGATAGTAAGTTCAATTAGATAGGGTTGCTATATGAACAAGCACTTCACAGTCATCACTCATAAAAAGTCTCAGTTCTGCATTGTTAGATTTATAAGGGACAATTTAATGGAACGGAGAATGATGAATCTTTGATTGACTTCCCTGCCTTTTAAGAGAATGTCATTGCGTCACAAGTTGCAGTGATTCTCATTTTTAGTGGCAACCCTTAGAATCAACCATCGCTGAGAAGAGCATGGTTTTATTTTATGTCTATGTGCCTCTCCAAATGCTTTCACTTTATTTAGGCGTTTGACAACTACCATTTGGACATCAGTTATAATAAATTAGGAACATCAAGTAAACAAAAAAATAATTTAAATTCATCAATATCTCAAGTTATATTTAACAATTTGGGGAAAAAAACGTAAAAGTAGTCCTTTGTAGGTGAAAATTCCATGGAGTTGGTCCTTTAAAGTTTGTGTCACAAATAAATCCTCAGAATATTAAATTGAAATGTATGTTGTTCTTTCTTATAAAACTCATTTCAAGTCTTATTAACAACTACTGATTTGATAATGTTGCTACCAAGGTCATAGGATGGCCAAAAAAATAAGTTAGTCACTATAATATATTAAGAAAAACATGAAAAAATCCTAGATGGTTCTGATATAAGAATTGTCATCCTACAACGTTCGTCATACTATTACCCTTTAACCTAGCTCATAAAACAAAATTGCCTCTCCCTGTTGCTTATTAACTTATTGACAAAATAAATTATTTATTTACATTTATTTTAAAAAAAAACTATTTATTTGTTATTATTTATTATCATTTATTAATGAATTTTGGAAAAAGAAAATATTTATGAAGAAAAAAATTAGTTCCACAAAGAATTATCCTTGCTCTTACATATTTCCTGGTACAGTGGAAAAATTAAGGTTTTGTAGAAAAAAAAAATTGTGAGTTCGTATTTTTTTTAATAGTTAAACTTGACATCACTAAATTTTAACAACTTGACGCGTCAAATTTACCGAATGGCAAAATAAAAAGTACTTCCAAAGTGTCTTTCTTTAAACTTTTAATTATTATTTATTTCACTTTTATACCTTTTTTAGAAAATAAAATAGGGGAAAATTTTAAGGACTAAAATCCGGAAATGTCTAAATTCATTTCACTCCTTCATTTATGAATATATATTTTTTTCAAATATTTACTATTATTTATTTCTGCTTTAAAAGTTGTTTCCATTTTTTTTGTATTAAACCTACTGTTATTGAATTATTGAATCTAAAGAAACAGATTGTCAAACAGGGTTTCCAATAAATGAGGAAAGTGGGCCGATTATATGACATGTTGATATATGTACTCATCAATTCAAATACTCATATGTGCTCATCAATTTTGTAATATTTAATTTGCAAGTGAAGCATGTAATAAAAAAAATTAAAGACATAAATAAGAACGATATTTAATTTGCAATTTTTTTTAATAAATTAAACTCTTGTTAGCTCATGAGCAAATGAGCAATTATACATATACTTAAGAGCTGCAATTTACAATGGAATAAGCCAAAATAAATGGATATTTAGAAGCCGACGCATAGAGAAACTCCACAGACTCAGATGGATGTATGGTTCTGCCATTGTTGAGAAGGCACAAACTACCAGAAATTTTTAAGATTGATGGGTCCACAGCTTCATTTGTTTTAAATCCTTTGCAATAGAGCTTCACTTGGGACTGAGAACACCTACAATCGTTAGTGATGGTCACTTTCCACTCTTGTCTCCCATTTATTATGTTTCCTGTTTTAGTTTGGACAATGTCCACGCCTTGAGGCTCAAAGGGAGAGCAACCTGCATCACCTGCAATATCACCAAATCAATTAAACATTAAGGACGAAAATAAGAGTAAATGCTCCCTTTCATATTTGAATTTGAAGATGTTATCTTAATTTTATTTTCTTTTGCACAAGTTTCTTAAAATTGTGTCTTAGATTAATCTAACGCTATCAAAAATTAAATAAAATTTGATTGATGATTGTTTTCATTAAAGATTGAATTCGAGTATTATCTGAACAATTTAACATTAGGTTATGCAGATTAATAAATCAAAAACCCTAAAAATATTTAATTAAAATGATAATATTTATATATATTCAAACACTAAAGTGATAATAAATAATTAAATTTAAAGAGTTATTTGACACTTTATAAAGTTATTACATATTTTTTTAGTTTTATGGATTAATGGAATTTTGTACACCATTTACATGGACCAAATAAAGCAATTGATTACTCGTACAATGGTTGTATAACGTGTTATGTGACATTTATAATGTGTATGTTAGAAATGAGTTATTACCTTCAAAAACCAGCGCAAGGAAGATAATGAGGAAGAGAAGCTTGAAAATGGAGGCCATTTGAGTGTTTTGAACCTTTTCTTTCTTTTTCAGCAGAGGAAAGCGTTCATTGTCACTCAATATATAGGACCATCACAACCCATTGAACCAGCGATTCGCTTCGGTTTAGTTTCTACTTTCTACTTAACTTTCAAGCTAAATCTCATTAGTAGAAACTGCATAATTCATATAGTATACAGTACATTCGTTACAATATTTAATCGTAAATGTAAAAAATTATATTAGGGACGCGCAAGTGGAACTATTTCCTCGGTACTGTAAATATTGACTATTAAGTTTAATTCTCATACATTAATTTTACATTAATCAAATATCGTAAATGATAGTAGTCTGTAATTAAATCAAATATTATAAATGGTAATAGTTTGTAATTAGATAATACAGAAATATCAAATTATTTTACACCGTTAATACATGATTTATTTTATCTTAATTGTATTTTAAATGTGATTTATTGACAATATAAAATAATTTTATATTATTAATCAACTAAATATCACTGTTTGATTAGGGATGGCAAAAATACCCGCACCCGCGGGTATCTGTGGATAAAATCCGCTATGGATAATAAATGGATAGGCTAATTGGGTACCCGCAGATAATGGGGACAGATAATTTTTTACCCGTTTATAAATGGGGCGGGGGCAGGTATGATGATATTCATACTCACGGATACTCGTTTAATATTATTTCTTAAATATCCTAATTATCCTTGTACCACATAATCCTAAAACTACACTCTCTCATCTTATTTTCTTACAAAAGTGAGGTTGATGAAGTTACCGACATGTGTGTTAAGCATGTTATAGAATTATGTTGGATGTAATTTGATTAATTTTCTAACTTTGATTGAACCAATAAGATTTATGTATTTTAAGTTATTTACTTTCATTTGTAATTATGAGATTGAATTATTGTAGCTTTGTGATGAGACTTTAACTTATTTGTGAGATTGATGTATTTTAAATTATTGATTATCTTGAATTTTTATTATTATTTCAACAAAATTAACGTTAAATAAAAGTTCAAAATTAACATTGAATTTTTATTTTTAATATTTCAATAATATTAAAATATAAACTTAAAATTATTTATAATATAATTTTTTTAATTTCTTAAAAATTTTATAAATATTCATGGATATCCGTGGGTATTCAAGGGCCAATTTTCATTTAGCGGGGCGGGGCGGGTTTACTATTACCCACCCCATGGGGCCCATTGTCATCCCTATGTTTGATCGACATTTTTTAAGGGATTTGTATGACATTTTTGTTATTATAAAAGTTAGCAATTTATTATAAAATAATTTGTAATTAAACACTCGTGTAAATTTGTTAATGTATTATTTATTTTCTTTCACTTAATGGTTATACATCAATAGAGTAAAATGATATTATACGGTTAATCAATTAGATATTATCGTTTATATATTTTTTTTATTCATTGTGTAAAATTTACACTAATAATATATGGCAGTGTTGGACTTGTTTATTGATTTATTCGTCTCTACAATTTAATAGTAATTAAGCAAGTAATTGAAAGCTCGATTAAATTTTGAAATTATGGATCAGACGTTTTAGTCATTTGAGATTTTACGTATCAAATTAAAAACCCTCACTAGTATTTGATTTTGCAAAAAAAAAAAATTCACTTTAGTTTATTAATTAATGTAATGTTATATTGATTTAATTCTTATTCATTTTAATTTTTAGTGTATTAGTTATTACTGATTCTATTAAAATCAGTTATTAGTTTTTTCTTTTCGGTGTATAAATAGATTCTCTTTATCATTAATGTAATTTTGAGAAATTCAATTTTCTCATAGTTCAATATAGTTCTTATTATACTCTCTCATTTTTTGTCATTTTGTTAAAAGAAGAATTAAGTACATAGAATTTTATGAAGTTAAGACTAATGAGAATTTTTAAAAGAGACTAAATGCTAAAAAAACCATACAATACTTGCATGGAAATTTACTGAAAATAAGCATAATGTAGATATACTAGAGATGGAAAAGGGTACAATGATGCGTCTAAAATATGGATGTATCCAATCACAGTAATAATTATGAGGACATGAATGCAATTTGACTTCTTTACAAAGATAATGAGTTGTGCTTTTATTGCACTCAACCTTCACAAATGAGTTGTGTTGCAGTTTTCTTTCTTCTATGAGACTATTCCTTTCTAATTCTTTATATATTCACCAGGACATTGTCTTTTTTTATTTCTTTACACTTTTTATTAATTGATCTTAGTTTTTCCTTTTCATGTTTACTATACGCAACAGAATATATGGCTACTTCGATGTAGAAATCAAGTGTTTTATGGTGCACGAGTGATATGATATCCATGCATATCCACATGTTACACAAATGAGTTATTACCTTCAAAAACCAGACAAGGGAGAGAAGAATATTTGAAAATGGAAGCCATATTTGAGATGTAATAGTGCTTGAATCTTCTTTTTTCCTTTTTAAGCTAATTGAACCACATTAGTGCTCGAAACAGCATAATTAATATTAGATACAGTAACATCGTTACAAAATTTTATCATAAATTTACATTAGGATCTTCAATTATAATCATAAATATTATATATTACGTGATATAATTTATATTATTATATTTAATATATCTATTATTATATTTTATTTCATTGTATCTATTATAAATTAAATAAGGGTATGTCACATAGACACACATCTCATGATAACATATATTATTGATTATTTTTATGTCAAAATATCATCAAAAATTTTATTTTATTTTATTATGATTTATAAAAATACATAATTATAGTGATTAAAAAAATATTATCGGTATAATTTTCATATTTTGTACATTCAAATTAACTAATAATTCATGTATATATTTTAATTTAATTATATGGTATTAATATATTTTTTAACACATAATTATGAAGCTGTAGAAAAATACATAATTAAGAAAACTAGAGTTGATATATTTTTTATAATTTGAACATTATATTCAAACTAATAATAAAAATAGAATGATCAGATTATAATAAATAAATATAGTAATTAAATATAATTACATGATTATGAGTGATCAGATTCACAAGATATTTGAATCCCAAATTGCATGAGAAATAGCAATGAGCTCCGCTTAATTAATGAGAAATTGCATAAAATCAAAAGTGTAGATCCAGCATGCTCTAAATCTTTCTCTTTTAGTTGATGAATATAGTGTGTGAAGTGTTCTAGATTTTTTTTAATATTGAATTCAATAATTGTATGAATTAAATATATATATATATATATATATATATATATATATATATATGTATATTT